AGCAGTTTGTGGGCCAAATGCGTTGTTCATGTTGCAAGTTGTCTTGCTGCTTTACGACCCAAGTTATTTTGAACTCGAATAAGAAAATTGCTTGAATTTGCTTTTTGTCTAAAATCATTTCCACATTCTAAAATACATATAAAATAAACAGCAAGTAATAAGTCATTAGCAAAATAACATAAATCAGGAAATGTATATTAAAATGATGTATAACAAAACCAATTTATTTAAGAATGTATTCCAATATCAAAGGCAGATTTCAACAATACAAAAACCACAATTACATTTGCACCAACCTAATAGTTGTATTATATTATATTAATGGTAGTGTTAGAAGTATTTTCCATAGTTATTTGGAGATAACATATCTCAATATGACAAAAAAAAAAAGTCAGTCCACTACTTTTTTATGTATGCCTAACAGAATGGCTAACATTCAAAACACTAACAACACCAAATGCTGACAAAGACATAGAGCAACAGGAGCTCTCATTCATGGCTGGTGGGCATGCAAAATGGTGCAGCCACTTTGGAAGACTTTTTGGTAGTTTCTTGCAAAGCTAAACATACTCTTACCATAAAACCCAGAAATTGTACTCCTTGGTATTTACCCAAATAAATTGAAAACTTACATAAGTGAATGAATAAACAAAGTGGGATATATCCATACAATGGAGTATTATTCAGTGATCAAAAGAAATGAGCTCTCCTGCCACAAATAGACATAGAAGAACCTTAAATGCATATCACTAAGTGAAAGAAACCAACCTGAAAAGTCTACATACTGTGTAGTTCCAACTATATTACATTCTGGAAAAGGTAAAACTATAGAGACAATAAAAAGATCAGTGGTTGACAGTGGTTAGTGTTGAGGGAGAAATGAACAGAGGGACAACAGGGGATTTTTAGGGCAGTGGAACAATATGATACCATATAGGTAGACACGTATTATACATTTGTTAAAACCCATAGACTGTACAACACAAAGAGTGAACCCTCATGTAAATTATGGACTTAGTTGATAATGACGCATCAACATGGGTTCATCAATTGAATGTTCCACACTAAATGCAAAATGTAAATAATAGGGGAATCGGAGAGAAGTGAGGTGGACTATGGGACTCTTGTACTTTATGCTCATTTTTCTGTAAAGCTAAAACTGCTCAAAGAAAATAAAGCCTACTAGTTAAAAAAAAAATTAAAAGTTACAGAGTAGAAGAGACTCAAACAGGGCAAAAGGGATGTAGATGACAACTAACAATATGAGGAAAGTAGCCAGACAAAGCTTTAATTTGGAAGGGACCCTTGTAGATATCTAGCCCATAATTCAGCACTTAGAAGGCATCATCTCTCCAACAACCAGCCCCTTTGGGAGTATTTGCAGTGACAGGAAATTCNAACAATTTAATAGGGAAAAGGAACTTGTTTTCCACATATGAGGAAGAAAAGAACCTTGGCCCTATCTCACCCTAAACACAAAAATTATTTTGAAATGATAGTAGCTATAAAAGCTAAAACTATAAAGCTACTAGAAAAAAGCATAGAATAATATCTTTGTAAACTTGGGAAAAGCAAATATTTTTCAGAGAAGACATAGAAAGCATTAACTACAAAAAAATGATATGTTTGATTTCATCAAAATTAAAACCTGTACTCATCAAAAGTCATAGTCAGGAAATAAATTAGCAAAGTTCCAGACAGGAAAGATATTTGCAATAGAAACATATTTGACAAAGGACTATACACAAAATATATAAAGGTCTTTTATAGCTCAGTAATAGGAGACAGATAACAATTTCAAAATGGACAAAAATTTGATCAGATACCAGTAAGCACATGCCCAACATCAATTATCAAGGAAATACAAATTAATACCATGAGGAGATACCATTATACAAGTATGTATATTAGAACAGTTGACATAAAAATGACCAACAGCCAAAATTCTCACACTTTACTGATCTGTAAAATGGTATACTTGCTTTTCACAAGGCTTAGCAAATTCTTAAAACTTAAACATACAACTACCCTATAACTCAGTAATTCCTCTCCTAGTTTTCCCAAGGGATTTGAAAATGTTTGTCCACACAAGCCTTGTTCACTGCAAATCTGTGAGATTTTCTTGGATGTAAATTATCTCAAATTTAAAATTGTCTTTTAAGTGAAAAAAAGGAACAGCTCTCCCTTGTAGAAAATCAGATGTGGAGCCATACTAGAAGGCGAAGAACAATGACCACTACATTCACTAAGTTATGGCATTATGGGATGGATAGCGTGAGGGTAAGGGGACATGAGGACATGATGTCACCTAGTTAGAAGGTGGCACTTCTAACAAAACATATGTAATGGTCTTCAATAAAATAAGAAAAACAGCCAACCAGAAAGAAAAATATATTTCCTTTAAACAAAATCAAGTTCACAATGGTCAGGAGCGCTGCCATAGACTTACTCGTCTTGTCACAATAGGATCCACGTCTTTAGGGTCATGATGGCTAAGGGTCATAAGATCAGCATTGAGGGTTCTGATGCGCTGTAAGCGAAGGCGGATATATCGTGCAGAGGTAAATTCCAACAACTTGGGGGAAAGATCATCAGCGCTTGATCTGCCATTGATTAGGGATGTATGAATCTAAAGATATCAAAATAAACATCAATTTAAGCATGTAAAAATATAGCCCTGGCTGTTTAACTTTGGGACATAATCTTTACTGAGACTACCTAAAATCAGATGAAGCAACTAGGTTCTTACAGAAACCTAACATTTGTTAACTACTTGTGAACACCATGAACACAAAATGTCTTCAATTACTTTGAAGTTATCCATTCCGGTGTCTCTGAGATTGCAGGAACCTTTTAAAAGGAGTACTTCTCCCAGTGTGGTGAAGGTATTTTAACATGCATCAATAGGCTGTGACTTCGCTGAAAAAAATTCTAGATGCCATGCATAGACTTGGGAGAATAAGAGAAAATGACAGAAAGCTTTGTAATACCCACTGATCTCAATGAATCTGGCTCTTGAAACAATGCAGGGTTTCTGCTGTGCAGAGCACTTGGGAGAGTTTTTGTAGTTTTGTCTCATCAAGCCAGGTGCTAGGAAAGGATGGCATGTTTTGGATTACACTCTGACTTTAATAAAGTGTGTACAGTCTGGGTGTGTTGAGTATGAGCTGGAATACTTCAAAAGCCATCTCCAATCCTCAACACTCCCAAAAAAGGAGAACATCACAGAGAAAATTGGGAACTATATCTTTTAGAGGCACTTTTGCGCTCTCTTTAATATTTCAACAAATGTTCTTGCCCTGGTGTTATGGGAAAGGTGCTACGAGGAAGGTCTGATAGAGCTGCTAAATTACAGCCAAGCGAAGACTGAGGGATCTCCTTGAATAGAAGAAATGAGCTGAAGTGTATCAGATATGAAATTAATCATCAGTCAACACCAGTCAATGATACATTAAATACAGCTAGATAGTTACATTAAAGGTCTTTGTAGTCTATACTAAGAATGATCCATTTTGCGTGTTTCGAGTTGGCTCTTGTGTTAGCTATCTTAACATTTGAGGTGTGTGTATGGCAGCGGGGGTGGGGGTCTGATGAAAAACAGACATCACTGCAGTGGGCACAGTACCTCTCCATGCTCCAGTGGCACCAGCCTAGAATAATACGAGGTACAGATCACTTCGTCATCAGCCCTGTAAGTGGGTGGCCCCTGTCTTGGGGTTATATTGTAACGAGTCAAACACTCCGTGTCACTAACTGCATAATACTGCCAGGGGCTGAACTTGGTGCCATCCATTGAGCGCTCCAAAATCCAGTTTCCAGGGCGAGGGGCATTAGCAGCTTTGATGATGATGTAAGCAACTTGAAAAACCTGAAACAAAGACACTGAAAACTCTCAGTCAAGGATCAGTGACAACTGCTCAAAAACCAAAGGGCCTCTTGAGAAAAAGACTGTTATACAATGATTGCCAATGTCCCTAATGGTTTTCAGAATGGCTGCTTATAAGTGTTAGTCAGAAATATGACTTGGGAATATTCTCCTGGTGGCATCTGTTTTCAAAGTAAATTCAAAAAGTACTCACAAACAAATCTGTATTATTATTAGCACTAGCATTAGTATTAGCATTAGTATTAGTATTACTATTAACATAAGTGCTTGCATTATTGTTTCCAATGTCTTTCTCCATCTGGATGATGAATGATAATATTAAGTTGATGCAAAAGTAATTGTGGTTTTGGACTGTGAATTTTAAATCATTAAAAGTAGGCTCAAACACATTTTTATTAATCAAAATAGGAACCATTACAATCAACACATTTTT